GCGGGGACAGTTACAGCGCCAAGCCAGGCCCGGAGAGGGAGGGCCCGGGTAGGCAGCTGCTGGGGCGCAGCTCCTGAGGGTGTTTTGGGGTGCAGCTGGTCTCTGCGGCTGCTTGGGTGTCAGAGGAACAGGGGTCCTGCTCACCCACAGACCCTCAGGCCAGGGAGGGAGCACCCCGGCGGGCGTTCGCTTCCTCAGGGCCACGCTGTGTGGTCAGGAGCCCGCCGGAATCTGCCAAAACTCTGCTCCCTCCGCCACCATAACCTGGCTTTGTCTCTGGTAGTGAGAAAAGAGCTGATGGCTGAGGCGGCGGCAAGCGAGAAAGGGCTCTCGGCGGAGGAAAAGGTACGAGAGACGCCGCAGTTCCTATCCTGCGCGGATGGGCCAGGCTATTTAAAACCAAAACAAAACCCCCAAACCTTCCTGCGATCAGCTCAGTGCCTGGTTTTGTCTCCTTTAGGACCTCACATCCCTGGATCAGGAAGGGGCAGCTGCCCCCTCTGTTTCAGGGGTCTACTTCATTTGCCCGTTGACCGGTGCAGTTGTAAGGAAGGACAAGAAGGAAAAGCACATCCGAGAAGCCATCCAGTCGGTAAGCACCCACCTGCCGGCTGCACGGCTTCCCCCCCTCCCCTTTTAACTTGTTCCGTGGTGTGGGTCCCCTCCAGCACCGCAGCAGAGACCCCTCTGCCCTCTCCCTGTAAAATCTCCACCCTCTCCCAAAGGGCAACTCTGTTCCGCTGTAGATGTACAAATGCCTGGCCCCAACACCCTGGAACTGCTGAGACTGGGAACTCGGGCCCTGTACTGGTTTTGGCTGGGGCAAAATTAATTTTATTTCCTTCTAGCAGGTGGGAGGGTGCTTCTTTTGGATTTGTGATGAAAACTGTTGGTTACACACTGGAAACAGCTACATTGGGAGGCAGGGAATAAATTCATTTGCTTTGGTTGCACACACAACTTTTGCTTTACCAATTAAACTGGCTTTAGCCCAACCCAAGAGTTGGGTTTTGTTTTTGTTTTTTTTTTTTTTAATCCTCAACTTTTACCCTTCCCATTCTTCCCCCCGTCCCACTGCGGGGGGAACAAGCATGGTGCTGAGCTGCTGATCAGGGTTAAACCACAACAGACCCACGCCTCCCTCTGAGCAGAGCATCAGCTCCCCCCCAACCAGCTTCTCTCCTTCTCCCCCAGTATTTCTCCGTAGACCCGGTGGCTGCCTCGATCATGGAGATTCACACCTTCAATAAGGACCGGGAGAAAGTACGAGTGGGCGTGGAGACCATGGCCAAGTAAGGACTGAGCGCGGAGGTAGCTTGTCCTTTCCCTGCAAGGCTAGCAGGCAGCTAGATTTTTCTTGCTGTGCTGAAGAAAACCAAAGCTGAACACTCAAACAGCCTTAACTGTTGGTTAAGAAACAAGGTCAGCATCTCGGAGGTGTTTTAAGAGTTGGTGCACTAGTCCAAAAGGTTTGGGAGCTGCTGGTTCAGGGCAGTCACCCCCCATCTTCTCTCTGGTGTGGGTGTGAAACACTGATTTATTTTCCTTTCCTCAGTTTTTCAGCTCTTTTATCTGTGAGAAATGCTGTGAGGTCTCTCACTGTTTTCTTACACCTCGGGGTAGCGTGTCCTGAAGTGCCTTGCTTTGATCCACGCAGTGCATTCCTCTTTCTGCAGGTACTTGGATAATATCTATCTCCATCCAGAGGAGGAGAAGTACCGGAAAATCAAACTGCAGAACAAAGTGTTTCAGGTGAGGCCAAGACTCCTGCAGGTGCTCTGCCTAGGAAAAGTCTGTGCCTGGAGCAGGCTACATCTAAATTATTTCCTTTTCTTCCAGGAAAGGATAAGCTGCCTGGAAGGGATACACAGATTTTTCCAGGCTATCGGGTTTGAGACAAAAACACTGCCTGTTCCAGGACAAGGCAAGAAATCCAAGTGTCTTAAACTGGAGTCAGGCGCCTGAGTGGTGGTGGGACAGCCCAGGGGAGGCTCTGAGGCAGCCGAGAGTTTCGCAGGCTGTAACAACACAGCTGCTATGCCAAGGCTGTAACCAATCTAGTTAGCAGTGTCCCTGCTCACTGCAGGGGGGTTGGACTAGATGACCTCCAGGGGTCCCTTCCAACCCCAAACATTCTATGATGATACAGCCGCTCACCCTGCTGTTTCCCTGTTAAGACCTTACGTTTTCTGGAGATCCTTGTATTTCATACGTTACTTGTGTAAAGAACAAGAGACTCAAATCCTGTCCTTTTGGTTGTAGAGACCACAGAGGAGTACTACGTACTGAAGGAAGAAATGCTGACCAAGTTGGAAGACCTCAAGGACTACAAAGAGCAGCTTTTAAGCTCTGAGCCCGTCAGAGCCCAGCTGGATCGCCAGCTCTGTGTGTTTAAACCTTCACCTGAAGCCGCTCGGTTTGAGCTGCCAAATGACTTTTACAACCTCACTGCAGAAGAGATCAAACGAGAGCAGCGGCTCCGGTGAGTAGGAGAAGGGCCCTGACTGCCCAGGGGGGCACGCGATGCCAGCTAAGTGTCTTGTACCTCTCCTTCATGCTAAAAATGGCTTTCTTTCTAAAGGACAGAAGCAGTGGAGAAGGCTTCGATGCTGAGGACGAGAGCCATGCGAGAGAAAGAAGAACAAAGGGAAATGCGGAAATACAGCTACACCCTGGTGCGAGTCCGGTTTCCCGACGGATACATCCTCCAAGGTGAAAAAAAAGACTTCTTACCTTGTCTTTGTACACCCCCGAAGGCTTCTGAGAGTACTTGGAGGAATAATAAGGAGGCTTGAGGTGTGCTGAACACAGCTGGTAGAATAAAGCAACAAAAACTAGAGCGGGGTAATGTTTCTCTAAGAACTTTTCCCATCTCTGAGCCTTCCACCCGCACAGGGTTGGGACTGTAAGGCAGGGTTGAGTGGAGAGGGAAGAATCTCAAGGCGCTGTTAATTAAAACGCGCTCTTCCCAGGCTACTGCGAGCAAGCTGGACTCATTAGAGCCGTTTGTTAGAGTAACCAGCATGAGGTTGCCTGTGTGGTGTCAGGCTATACAACAGTATAAATCCCCTTCAAATTTTGCAGTAGAACTCTGGAAATTATTTCAGGCTTTCCCAACTCTTTGTTACAGGCTGGCAGGGGCTTGCAAGGATTGAAACGATATTTTTCTTTGGGGGATTCTGCTTTTGTATTTCTCAGCTGAATCAAGGCTGTTTCTGTGTTACTGAAGTAGTTCATAAAGTTAGCATCAGTACGTGAACCCCACGAAACCTACCACAAAAGGTTAGGTTTGGTAAATGCCAGACTCTCTCTCAATATCTCACCTTGTTTTCTCATGGCAGGGACTTTTTATGCACGAGAATCAGTATCTGCGCTCTACAACTTTGTGAGAGGAGCGCTCAGAGATGACTGGCTGCCCTTTGAGCTCTTGGGACCCGGAGGTCTCAAACTGACGGATGAGAACTTGGCCTTCAATGAATGCGGGCTGGTGAGTAAAAAGAAAAGATAGCTGGTACCTTCCACAGGGGTCTTCAGGTTGTCAGAGTCATCTACTGCTCACAAGTTTGTGTCTTCGGCTCTCAGTGCTGCGATTGTGCTCTGCCCCCTTCTTTTTAAGCTCAAAGGATTAACTGCTTGAAGGCTTCTAGCTCAAGGGTAGGAGGGCTGTCTGGAAGGAACTGCAAGGACCTACCTCCCGTAGCAAAGGCAGGTTGCAGTGGCTGCCAGCAGCTCCATCACAGGGTTAGCATCTACACTGGGAAAAGAGGAAAGGCAGTGACTGTGAGGCAAGCGCGGCTCTGGCACAAGGCTTCCACCAGAAAGCCCAAAGCAACATCCCCTAAGGAGCTGCTTGCCGAAATCCACGCTTGTCCTTTTTAGTTGAAGTGCTCTTGCTAAGTTTTTCCAGGTCTGTGAACACAGACAGCATGTTACGAGGTCAAAGTACAACATTGCTGTAGCTTAATAACACAGCTTTTTCCCTTCCAGGTGCCCTCAGCCCTCCTGACTCTTGCCTGGGATGCGGCCGTCATGGCAGACATTCAGGCGTCAGGAGAGGAGCAGCCAGCAAGCCCCCTGAAACCAGAACTTCTCTCCAGAGTCCAGACGCTGTCGTGAAATAAAGGGGAGTGGATTCAGTGCTGGTGGTTTTAGACTGTTCCCTCATTTTCCCCATACAGGCTGTGGGAGCTTCCAGCTACGTGACCTCAGAAATGACTTCAGTTTAGCTCTGTGGAGTGGGAGTTTAGATTCTGCCATGTCACACCAACCTTGTGGTTACCTCCACAACTCCAGTAGCCATACACTAAGGTGGTTTTGCCCAGTAAGACACGGGACTGCTCTGAATGGCTTTAAAAGCCAAGTTCTAGCAGTGACTGCTCGAGGAGTTTCTAAGACTGTGATGAGGCACTGCTCTCCTCCCTTGGAGGAGGGATTAGGTGTGCTAGTACTAGGCTGGATTACCAATCGATTGAGCCTGGGTATCAGGCTGGGCTTAGAACTCAGCTTTTCCTTTTGCTTCTGTGTGCACTGTAACTCCTATTGGAGAGAACATATTTAGATAAAATGCTGCTTAGTCTGATTAAATGGAATATTTAAAGACTCTATTCTGTTCACGGTTATTTGAATTGCATTGCTCTGAGCGGTTGGAAATGCAGACGAGCTCCAGTCAGTGCTGGGACTGGCACTGGTGTTACTGGTGCAGCCGTGGCATTACCCACCTTTTCACTTTGTGGCACCCACAGACAGAACAGGGGACAGGCCAGGAGACTGACACCAGGTGACAGCTATTTATGCTGCCCACTGAGGAGAGATTAAGCCTCAAACTACAGCCAGCATTTTAGGGAACTGAATCACCAACTCGCAAGCCACAGGGAGTTAAAAGCTCCAGCAAGTTTGTTGCTTACATCGACAAGGCTGATGCTAGTTCAGTCCTTTACACTTCAAGTTTCTCTGTGGTGTAGAGGCTAACTTTTGTGTATACAGCTTCTGCTGTAGCAATGGTACAGGAGACCGATAATCTACCCCTGATAAGTAATTAATACTGGCCTATCCCAAAATAGGAGAAACAAGGTGCATTTTTCTTTTCCAGAGGTAAAGCCCTGCTGCTGTTCTCTGTAGCAAGTAAGACCACAAACAGGATGATATAGATAGCATAAATTCAAATATAATTGTACATCATTTATACCCAAGGCCATGCTATACAACATTATGAACAGAGTAATTCCCCCAGTGGCATCACAATAAGCTTATTTCAAAATCCCTCCACTAGTTTTAGAGATAACTTATGACCTTCCATTACAAAGAAGTATCAAAATTTCAATAATGCTTTATTAAGGACAGATTAATATGCGGTATTTTTTAAGCTAAAAACTAGAACTAAAAATTTAAGCTTCCATCTGGTCTGAAGCAGAACAAAGTGCTGTCTTCTCTTTACAAGAAATATGGAATACTTTCAAGTATCTTATTAAAAGATACACAAGGTTTAAAATTTTCTAACTCATTCTACATACATACAGAGAAGTTAGTAGGCATTTAAGTCTCAAACTGTATTAGATGGGCTGACTACGCTGGTGTCCTGGTGAGCAGCTCCCGTGCCACTGGATTCTGAAGCCGTTTCGGTAACTGCCAATGTAGAATCTGCAAAGTAGAAAATGTGTTGGTTTAGGGTTTTTTTTTTTTTGTTTCCTTTTTTTAAAAATACCCTCACTAATCTAGTAGAATTTGACTACTACATGCTTTATCTGTCTTAGCTTGTCTGCCCGTATCTGTTGCAAGTCCTTTTAATACTATTTAAAAACCAGTTTTAGTATTGGGTTAACATCAGTGCGGAATAAAATTACTTCAACCATGAAAAGGATCTTCATAATCTTTTCAGTGCTTTAGACTCAGGCAGACTTAAACAAATACAGCTGCATGTGTGTCAACAAAGCCTGGAGGAAGGCAAGCTACTGAAGAGCATCCCCGTCCTCAAAAACGAGAGGCTACAAACCTGACGCAAGGCTTTCATCTCACTGCAGTCTTGTAATAAGCAAAAGCAGCTTACGATTAAATGCAAAGCTTCTTGTCACACAGTTACATTGTCTGTTACGGAAGGCGAGAGGAGGACTGGAGCACCAGCTGAGACAGAAAGGAGAACCCAGGTATGTCTAGAATGGGTCAAACACTACAGAATTTAGGGCTTCGGGAATATGCACGAGCCCATATCTACCAATTAGAGGAGCTGCCCAACACAAAACCCCCACTTCCCTTAATTCAGGTTGTGCCAGTAGCATTCTGAAAGAGCTCTATTGTGAGAGCAGTAAGAAAGAGCTCGGGGGGGTTTGAAAGTGGTTTAGAGGAGCTGAATGCACATCATGTGGTTGGTGTTCAGTCATTGATCTGTATGATCAAGTATGTCTAGTTAAAACCTCACTGCGATGAAAGGAGCCGATCCACATCCTCATCCCACTGTTTCCAAATCTGTAGCCTGAAAGGATCCATCACGGCAGTGGAGCTTTGAAAGCCCTTTTCCAAGGGGTAACTGGGACACAAATATAAGCAACTGCTTGGATTCTAGAGCAAAGTGTTGATCAGAGCCCTCATCTGTCACACATCAGAGAGCTTGGTTATGATCTGATATTATTTCCTTCAGACAATTCAGTGTGCACCTAAGAGTTCAAGAAGGCAGCAGAGGGGCGTTATGGTCCAGACCTTGTCAGTCCTGGAAGGGCTCTGAACATAAATAAGCACACCCCAGCGACGGGCCCTGCTCAGCAACACTGACCAACAGTTACTGGATCTGCTGATACCGACCCCAGTGTTCACTTTTTCTTACCAGAAAAAATAAAAAAGGTAACACTGGCAGCTAAATGCAAGTCACAAGCACTTGCCACCATTCAGTCGATTGGAGGGAAGGAAAAAAGGCAAGAGGAGGTTAGAGAAGACTGTAAATAGCAAAGAAGCATCTAGAATAAAACATAAAAAGCAGAGAAGCAGCTAGAATAAAACACCTAGAGACGAGAGCAAGGCTTGGTGAAAAAAGTGGCATAAAAACTGCAACAGGTTTCGCCACACTCTGTTCCCACTGTTGTGCTCTCCCTCATGGGAGCGAGCATCTGCCAAGAGACTGCTATCAATTTATTTCCCCACCTTTGCCTGGCTGTATATCCACAATCATGCAGTCATCATCTTCCTCATCTTCCTCGGTGTCTGCCTGAAATCCATCCATCTCTGCAGCTTCAGCCTTAAGGGAAAAAAAGGGGACCAGCAGCATATCAGCACGCTGACACGTGAGACCAAGCACAGCCAGTGCTGCGAAGGACTGCTGTGGGCACTCCTCACGGCACAGTCGGATCAGTTGGGCACATTTGTAGGGAAGAAAAAATAAGCAACCCCCATCCTCAACAGATCCCGAGTTTTGGTAAAAGGCCTCATCCGCAATGGGACATACAGCAGGAAGCACGCCAAGCTTCTGCTCCAAAATATTTCACTATTACACAACACGACAAACAGCCTACACATCGAAAAGTCAGTTCAAGCCTTAATTGAAACCCGACTCGGTTGTGTTGGGTTTATTTGGAAGGGAAATCTCTCCCCCCTCTGCTGACTATTTTGGATGCTTTCTTCCTTCTGAAGATGGAAAATGACTTTTGCTTGTCAAGTTTGAAGCATGTTCTTCCCCCCGACTCCACCTCATCTTTGCCAATTAGCTTTTCTTCAGGGAGGGGAGACAGTTCTTCCCCTGCTGACCCTATTTTCTGTCGTGGGAGCAACACAAGCTACTGATTTTGAATAGAGAAAATGAATATAAGGAGTGATACAAACTGAAGCTGCCCAGCATTGAACATCTGTGAGTGTTTTGGGTTTGGGTTTGGGTTCCCCCCCTCCTCCCCCCCAGCTGGAACTGTGGAATTAAAATCTCAGACCTAGAACCTCATCCCCACCCCCTACAAGCTGTTCCAAGAGAAGAAATTTTAAATTTACATCTGTCATTCAAGTCACAGTTCTCAGATTAAGTGTTCCCCTCCTACACGTGTGCAGGTACTGCCCGCTTCAGTACAGAGTTCTTCTCTCGCCACGCTTTATGTAAGAGCACCTTTACATCCACGAGGCCTGGCGTGAGCTTCACGGCAGAGCAACGCGTGCCAGGGGTAGAGAACCCGGCAGCCTTGACCTACCAACCGTTCCTAGGCTCTGCCCAAGCACCAGCCTCGCTCGACAGGAAGGACGGGATCTCAATACCTGAGCAGTGCTGATTTAGACATCAGGCATGAAAGGCTTTCAGGACTCCGACACCTTTTCCTTGAGCTGCACTGCGCCGCACCTCACCAGAGGCAGCTTTAAGATTATTTTGAGAGCTTTGAGAAATTCAGGCTGGTGATGTAATTCTACTAAAAGCCTTTGTTTTTCTATTTCTGCTCAAGTAAGTCAGTTCTAAGCAGAATTTCCAGTGGCTGCGCAACAGAGAGTTT